TTGCATAAGGGTGCCGTACTGTTTTACTGTTTTGGAGACCTCGAAAGACTCGAAATGGACCCTGATTTAGAGAGGCACCCAAATAGTCGTAGTCTAGTATGGACCAATACGCTGCTCTGTTTGCCAGGTTGTAACTCAAAAACTGTTGAGCCCTGACAGGCTACACCTGGAAGAACGGAAATCTCAAAGCCGAACTTAAACAAAAAACACAAAGCCTTTACTCCGAAACCCTTCATTATTCATGCTAAAATCTGAACCTTCAACACTTAACCTAAGGCCGAAACTCAAACCCCGAACCCCAAAGCCTCATAAACCCAGCCCCTTGCGCCCCAAATCCACTGGAAAGGCAAGGTAATATGACATTGTATAGTACAGTACATTGCAGTACAGTACAGTACAGTACATTGTAGTATCTATGTATATGTATATACATAGATAGATAGATAGATAGGATAATAAAATATACAGTATAATGTGCTATATCATCATCTGATAGAATGCCAAGCTTCCAGGAACAGCGCCACGCCGGCTCTGGGGGTTTCCTCCACGGCAATGGACTTGCTTGCAGCCTCCTTCCTAGGACAGAGAGGGCCCTACCCCCCTAAACCTCCAAATCCTAAACCCTAAGCCTTCAATCCTAGACCCAAAAATCTGACAACCCCCTAAAACACCCAAGCCCTAAAGCCTAAATCCCCCCTTCCCGAAAACCACTGAGTGCTAGGAAAGATTGGGAGATCTCCATGGGTGTAGGGCCTCGCGTCGAGGTTGCTGGATCGTTCTATTGACTGCTGGGTAGAATGAGCCATCTTTGTCTCGGGCTTAAGGTTTAAGGTTTACGGTCCTGTCCCAAAAACCAAAAACAGACTCCCAGATCAGTCGAATTGAGTCAAGTTTCATCGGCGACCGCAGCAATGCCTTGAGGACGGGAGAGGCAGCCATCAGGACAATGTCATGACAAGTTACCGCGCCACCAGCTGTCTCAAAGGTCACGTTGTGGGTCTCCGTCATATCCCGCATGACCTCCCAGGGTGGCAAAATGCGAAGTTGAGGCACAACACGATCCGGGCGGCCCAGGTGGCGCAATGCACCGACTACACTCATCGCTGCTTGCTTGCATCAACCGCAAGAGCAGGAATCACCTGACAATATACGGGTTTAGAGTTTGGAGCACATCTTCTACCTGGCCTCCCAGCGGTTGATCACACCTTGATCCACAGAGGCCTGCGTGCGCCTGGCATCCATGGCCCGTGCGATTACAGCCAAGATGCTCTCGAAGTATTGGATGTGAGTCTGAGCGGAATGAGTGGACACGGAGTTCCCCCGCTGCCCATGAGAAGCGGTGGGACTCCGATGCAGAGCTTTAAGCCATGCCACAGAAAGTGAGATCGCAGAGTGGCCGGCATAGGCGACTTCAATCGTGGCACTTGGAGAATTTGGAGGGCCGACGCTCAGCCTTGGTTCGCATTAACGAATGATTCAAGCTAGCATCGTGAGGAAAGCCTGCTAGCTACTAAGTATATTAGACATTATCTGCTGCATAGCTTCAGTCATGTTCCTTATCAAGAACCCAGTAGCTTGACCATCGCCGACTTGTTGCTGTCGGGAAAGACACCAGGAATGCGAAAGTACGGCGCTTGATGATGTGGATCCGCTCCAGCATTCAGCATCCACTCAACGATGCGAAGATGTATGTCATGTCTTCCCCGCGACATGCCCTGCAGGATTGCAAAGTGAAGTGGAGGAAGCGTGCCGTTGCTCCAGCTGAAGTTTGACGGCGTAAACTTCATCAGGCCTGGTAGATCACCAAGCTCGATAAAGCTGAACACGACATCAACGTCGACGCTGCGTCGGTGTCTCGATGGACACAGGCCCATGGCGTCAACTCCGAGAGGGCTCCAACAGCTGAGCGTCTAGAGCCTGTAACACGCAAGAGCAGAATGTCGAACAAAAAAAGCTGCAGATTGCCAGCTTGTTGATATGACTTTCTGCCTTCGAAAATATGTACGTTGAGTACGGCCCATGTTCTTTTTTTTACCCTGAACCTCATAGCACCGGGACCTGCGAACAGGGTCAGAGGTCTTAATCTGGGTTCTTGCTAGGGGATTTATTTTAAGTTACCACAATAAAGAGACCATACTATTTACTATAGATCACCATTATGGTAACTTAAACGAAATCCCTCAACGAGACGTTACCACAATGGGGATCGCTACATATATATATATAGATAGATATATATATATATAAACACACACACACATACATATTTATAGCATGATCTCTTGAGAAATCCCATTCGTCCAACCATTGAGGCCCATCTAGCTATCACCACTCGAAACTCTAAACACTCAAAAACAACCCTTGCGAGTGGGGCATCATGTAAGGGCCTTAATTTTTGGAACAGGGTTTTGGGCTCCTTTATACTGTAACAATAGTAATAACAGCAATAAGAATAATCGTAGTAAGGAGCCCCCCCCAAAAAAAAATCACGGGCTAGAGTTCCCTGTGTAAGCCGAAGTCAAGCCCTCGGCGCATGCTCAAACCAGGATGACGTCTATGTTACCTGTGCATCCCCCCCCGGCTGTGTTCAGAGCACCTAGGCCACCCTACTGTAGGATATCGGGGCCTCAAAGATAGAAAGGGTTTTGGGGTATATCATAATATGTAATCCCAATAAGGAGCCTTAAGGAAGAGGATACGTAACTATCAAGACTGCTACATCAAACCCCAAAGGCTGCACATGCCAAAGCCCAGACGCCTGGAACCCTAAACCCTGAAAGAAAGGCCTCGATAAACCCTGAGAGCCCTATTCCTCTCCCCAAAGAATGGGCAGTTCTCTAGATTGGGCTTCCTTTCAGGGTTCTTTGCGTAAGAGTGCCGTACTATATGGGGACCCTAATTTAGAGAACTACCCAAATACCTCGCACAGCCCGGGCCTAGCCGCTCGTCCGGCTTGACGATCTGCTCCACCAGAGCGATCTTGAAAGCGGAAAACTCCTCGCGCTCTGCTGCAATGTACTGGGGGCTTGGGGTTAGGCTGTTGTGCTTGAACGAAAGGTTTATATCTTTTCCTCCATTGGGCTTAGGCTTCAGATGTTTGTCTGCACAAGAAATAGGATGCAGGGCTCAGGGTTTCGAGGCCTTTAGGAGTTATTATCCTGCCTGCTTGTCGAAGTGTCAAGATTTCGGGGATTATAATATGGGGACGGTACTCCCCAGGTTTCTCGGATTCCAGACGGTTAGAACAATCATAACCATTCAGCTGAGGCTTCTATGTTTATGCAGCGATATGGTTCTGCCAGGGCATATTGCTGGCGATTTCTGACGCTCGTTCTGTTGCAACGGCTGAAGAATTACCAATAATACTCCCTATATCCTAGACCCGAAAACCCTTCCTAAACCCCAATTCCTTTAGAGTAACCCTTTAAGGGAACAGAGATCTTTTAAGCAACCCCCTTCTAATTATTCCGACCCCGAAACCCCAGACCCTTGCAGTCATTGTTACAGAAGCCCATGACAAAAACCTGTTCTAATTGTTCGGACCCCTGTGTTACACCGGATGTTTGATTTTTCTCCTTGGCCGGGAGATCTTCCAAAGTTCGCTTGAACTGCACCAGAAACGCTTGGACAGCCTCCGGTCAAAGGGTTTAGGGGTCGGAGGGTTTCGGGTGGGTTTCAGGGCTCTCCCTGCTTCATTGGTTTGAGGTTGGGCGTACCGAGTTGCTTTTACATCTTGTCCACTGGCCAACGCTCTCCAAAGTTCGGACTTGATAGGCCTTGGTGCGATACACCGAGTTTTTGCATTAGCCCTAAACCCTAAACCCTCTTAGGGATGCTTAGGGTCTATATCGGGCTTTGCAGCATTTGCAGCTGCTGCGGGACTCGCTGCTGGCTTCGCAGCTGGATCTGTGTATTATGTGGTCTTTCTTTCTGATTTGAAGATGACCTTCTCCTTTCGGCCTGTTGTATCTTCCAGACATAATCCCGACAATTCCGGCTTCTGCGCCGACTCTCAGCGCAAACCCCAGACAGTAAATCCCAGCCTTGAAACCGGGAAGCTCTGCAGCCCAAAAAAAACCTCTCAAGAATCGTAAGCAGACCCCTACACCCTCAAGAGAAATCCCTAAACCCCAGGCAAACCCCTACCGTAGACCCTAAACTAACACCCCAAACAGAAATCCCTAAACTCCTAGACCGGAAGCAAACCCCTACCGTAGACCCTGAACTAACACCCCAAACAGAAATCCCTAAACTCCTAGACCCCAAGTAGACCCTGAACTAACACCCCAAACTCCAAGTCTTCTTTCCGAAAGGCTCCCCGAAAGGTTTCCCCCCCAGCGCCTCCAGAAGCTCAGAGGGTTCCCGGCTGCTGCTTTGCACGGCCAAGGAGAGACGAGCTGAGAGGCCGTCCTTATAGGTTTAGGGTTTAGGGTCCTTAGGGTTTATAGGGTTTATAGGGCATAGTGTAAATTTTGGGATGCCTTTGTTTAGGGTTTGGGGATTGAATGGGGTTTGGGCTATCTTTGTCTTAGGGTTTACGTATTTTCATTAGCTTCTTCGATAAGAAAAATCGTAGGTCGGTTTACGGATGTTGAGATGCTTAAGGGCACTTGTTTTGGGCTTGTTGGATGGTTTGTTGGAAGCTTAGAAAGGTGTTCCAGAGAGTCGGCAAAATGCGGCCACACGGACATCAACAGCTTGTGGGTCTGGCGCTAAAACCCCACAGTGCCATACATGCGACACACGGAAGCCAAACCCCACATTCACGTCCCAACATCCTATTGCAAGATTCCGAAATGCCACAACCCCAAAAGCCCTAAACCCTAAAACGCCAAAGCCTACACACGACTAGACAAAAAAACACAAACCTCACACGTCCCCAACCTAAACCGCAGCCCTCAGCACAAAACAGTCGGGGGGCCCTGTCTGCTTGAGCAAGGACAACGTAGCCCAGCCTGGCAAAAAAAGCGTCAGCTTTCGGATTCGAAAGGACGAAGGTTGGGATCGAATATGGGCCTGCACGAATTAGAGCCCGTTATTCCGAATGATGTGTTTAGGAGGGCCTTATAGGAATCGATCATACTAGTACTTTCATAGGCTCCATTGTGGAGGTAGGCCCTAATTTCGAACGGCGCGTTGGAGCGCGTTTAGGGGCGCGGCTGGAAGCAAACGGGCTTTTGTTTGGCGACCTCTAAACACTAAAACCTTGCCCTAAAGCTTGAAGCCCAAAAGCCTCCAAAATGCACCCGAAAGCCATGACGAGGGAGCTCTGTCGCTTAGGGTCAGCACGCAGGTCTTGTTTGGGGTTTCGGGTCTCAGGGTGTTTCAGCTTTGAGGGTTTAGGGGTTGTAGGGTTTATAAGGGTTTTCGGGTTTTAAGGTTTCGAGGGGTTGCAGTTTTTTTTTTCGGGTTTGTAGGGCTTTGAGATGTTGAGGGACTCCAGATTGGCTGGTTTGAGGGCTTTCGAAGGCTATGGCTTGGGGCTGCGCAAAAGGACCACAGGACTTTGGCAGGCCTCAGGGGCTTTTGCACTCTGGGGCTTGCAGGGGCATGCATGGCTGTTGCAGATTTCAGGTGTTGGAGCGCAAGGCTGCAGGTTAAGCTTATGGGGCCACACCCATAGGCCCCTAAGTAGTTCCTTTTTGGGATCACCTTATAGGATTCTAAATATAAGCCAGAAAAAGGAACTACTTAGGGGCCTATGGGTAAACCCTTAAACCCTAAGCCTTTTTGGCTTCCCCCAAGATCAATCCCTGATGGCTGAGAAAGCAGCTGCTGCTTGGTTCGGATCTCGTTGTAAAACCTCAGCAGCCAGCTCCAGGTTTCCGGCGAGTTGGGGTGAGGGCGTAGGGCAATCCTTGTCGATCTCTGCTAAAGCTCTTAAGAGGGTTTAGGGTTTAATTCTAGGGTTTTGCAGCTCTTGAGAAGCTTCGATGCGGTTCCAAGTGGTCTCTTGAGAACAGACAGCAAACAGACACGTAGGGCGAAGCAGCAGGCAAAATGCATCCGTCTACACCCTGCAAATTCCTGCAGTTGGTCTCCAAGGTAAGTTTTTTTGTCAGGTAGCATGACTATCAAGTACCCCAGCAAAGGGACCCAATTTCATTGTGCCACACAAGAAACATCAAAACACTCCTTCAAATCCCTGGTATAATCTATTCTATTCCTCTCAGAATCCATTAACTGAAGAACCCTGCCCCATTAAAACCTGAACGTTGAACGACCCTGAAGATCCCTCCGATCTGAGTCTCTTGTGCACTGCCAGGGCAGTCTTGGGTCCCATGCGGGTCCGCCAAGATCTGTTGCAACAGCTCTGTCATGACCACAACTTTTGCTTCTGGACCTGTTACATTCCAACTAGGGTTTACGGTTTAGGGTATCGGGTTGAGGGTGGGGACTCGAACAATTAATTTGGCAGGATAGAGATGTGGTCGAGGAGTACGTAGGAAAGTGGATGAGGAAGTTGTAACGATTAAGGGACATTATGATGGGCTGAGTATGTAGCGGACGACTATGCGTGCTACTGCTTCAGCTCAGGACATGTAGTGCAAAGTTCTAGACATCGCGCTGCTCATGTCCCCTCACCCTCAACAAAGAATCCCTAGTGTGACCCGAACCCGACCACTCATGAATCTATCGGAAACCACCCGTCTGTCCGTCAAGACATGCTGAAACATGCGCTTGTTGCTTGCCCCTTTACAGTTTTGCGGCTGTGGGCCCGTCTCGTGTGCTTGTTTGTTTTCCTTCCGCCCTTTCCGCCCTAAGCTTCCGGCAGGTACAGGCTATGCTCTGTGTAAAAGCCACGGTGCACTTAAACATCGAACCCGCTTGTCCAGCGCCCCAAACTTTCAACCTGACTCCCGCCGCAACAACC